GGGGGGATCCTTAGGGGTCTGTAAGGTCATTTGAGTGTCTCTGCCTACAGTGGAGGAACTGGAGGAGCTGCCGGCGCCACCCCCCATCCCCCGTGAGACTTGGGGGGGCACTTGTGGGATAGGAGCACGTATGGGCCTGGGGGAGCACTTTTGGGGCTGGGGGCAATTATGGGGTGGGAGCACTTGGGGGGCTGGGGAGACACTTGTGGGACGGGGGGGTATTTGTGGAGTGGGAGCACTTATGGGTCTGCAGGAGCACTTTTGGGTCGTTGGGGGGCACTTATGGGGCTAGTGGGGTACTTATGGGGCTGTGAGCACTTCTGGGGCAGGTCTTCGCCCCCCGGAGGAGCCCGCCCTGCCCCCCCCCGTTCCGGAGGTCCCGGTGCGTCGCCGCGTCCCCCGTCGTCGCCCTCCACCCATCGTGGACCCCCTGCCCCACATCCCCACCAAGCTCTTCCGGGCGCAGCTGCTCCAGCCCTATGCCCACTGTCAGCCCCCGGTGAGTGGGGGGTTCTGACCCATAGATCTGCCCCGTAGATCCCCCTGCCCCATAGGTTGCCCCATAGTTGGCCCATAGTTCCCCCACCTCATACATCCCCTTATAGATCCCTCCCTGCCCCATAGATCTGCCCCATAGACCCCTCTGCCCCACACTTTAATACACAGATCCTGTTTCTGCCCCACAGGTGCTGCTGGAGCCACCCCACAGGTTACGCCGCCCTCCAAGTGAGCTCCTGAATGCCCCGACTCACGGTGAGACCCCCACAGCCACCCCAGAGCAGGGGATTCCTGCCCCATAGTGGGTGTTCCTGCCCCGTAGTGGGTGACCCCCTGCTCTGCCCCATAGATTGGCTGCCCCCCGAGCTGTGGGAGCTGTGGAGCCGCTGTGCCCAGCGTCCTGCCGTGCCCGTGGCCCCACCCCCGGAGCTGCCCAGCGACATGGAGGTGAGGCCCCATAGATCCCAATCCTGCCCCATAGATCTGTCCCATAGACCCCAATCCCACCCCATAGACCTGTCCCATAGACCCCAATCTCGCCTCATAGACCCCCTGCCCCATATCCCTGTCCCTCTCCAGGTGCTTCGGGAGGCCCTGGAGCCAAGTCTGCCCCCCCTGCTCTCCTCAGGTGAATCGGGGGTGGCTCTGGGGCACTTGGGCATCGCTGTGGGGCAGTTTGGAGTCACTGTGGGGCACTTGGAGGTCACTGTGGGGCAGTTTGGGGTCACTGTGGGGCACTTGGCAGTCGCTGCAGGGCAGTTTGGGGGTCATTACGGGGGAATTTTCAGTTTCTGTGGGGCAGTTTGTGGTCACTATGGGACAGTTTGGGGGATGCTATGGGGCAATTGGGGGTCACTGTGTGTAGTTTGGGGTTGCTGTGGGACAGTTGGGTCACTATGGGGCAGTTGGGGGGTTGCTATGGTGTAGTTTGGGGGTTGCTATGGGGCAGCCTGAGGGGTCACTTTTGGCCACTCCCCATCCCCAGAACTGTCCCTGGAGCCCCTGGAGGAGGAGCCACTGGAGAGACGGTGAGTGGGGCGTGGCTGGGGCAGGGGTGCGGCAAGGGCAGTGATGTCACCAGCAGCCAATTAATGCATGGCAGTGCCTGGAAAGGGGCGGGGCTTATTCTGGGTGGGCGGTGATTGGTCTGCTGGGGGCGTAGTCAATCCAGGTGCAGCCAATGGACAGCCAATGGACTGGGGGTGGGGCTTGGTTTGGGGGCGGGTCTTGCACCATCCAGGGGAGAAAGGGGTGTGTCCTGGGAAAGGGGCGGGGCTTGGGAAGGGAGAAAGATTGGGGAGAAAGGGGCAGAGCTTGAGGAAATGGGCAGGGTTTGGGGAAGGAGGGAGTGGTATGGCAGAAAGGTGTGGGTTGGGGGAAGTAGATGGGATCACACTGACCCCCCAAGTACTGCCCACAGCCCCCCGGCC